CCGCCCCTCCCCACCATCCACACGAGCCCATGCTGGGCACTTACATGCAAACTAGTGCTTAGAAATGAGGTGGTTCAGTCAGATATCTGAGCAGCTTAGAATGGTCATTGCCGAACACATCTTGAGCAGGTATCTCATTATCTGAGCAGGTAGCCTGGAGCTGGGCCGAGGGGAGCTTGTACAGAGGGCAGGGCCACGCCCGGGCCAGCGGAGACCCCAGGCCCTGGGCCCCCAGTTGACAAGGGCGTCTGGCAGGAGGAGCCCACGGAGCCTGCCACGTTCCCTAATCCGGTCCCTCCTCTGGCCCTAGGAGGGAACTGGACTCAGGCTTTCCAACGCACTGTTGGTTCCAGTGCAGCCGTCCTGAGTGAAAGACATGCACGCACCAGCCACCGAGGGGCCCTCCCCTTAGAAAGTTCCTCTGAGAAGCTTCGCCTCCACCGTTCACGCAGGTGTCTGCCCGGGGTTGGGCAGCGGGCCACACCGGTGGCCCTGCTCCTGTGGATCTGCCCCGGGCTGGGTCGTGTTTGGTCCCACGCAGCCCTGCCGGGTCCCTGCTCTGACCTCAGCCACGCTCTCTGTTGCTGCTCGGGTGGGATGCCCATCCCTCCGGCGAATGCGACCTGAGCACTTACTGAGTGCGGCGAGTTCCAAAGGCAGTGAGCCGAGGGGACCGGTGACCGGGGTGGCAGACGCCTGGGGGGGTTGTGCATCTGGTTCAGATCGGACCTGGCCGGGGGCTTGTCCAGCCTCATAATCCCGGCGGCCCCCAGCCTGACCCAGGACTCAGCAGCAAATATGCCGCCTGCCCCAAGGCGGTCGCTACCCTGGTCACCAGCTCTGCCTGGTGCCAGCCCCAGCTCCCTAGACTCATGTTGTCCCCATGTGTTCTCCCAGTTAGAGAAGGGGCGGGGGAGGCGCTGACGTCCGGACCAGTGTTCTCAAGCCTGGGGACTGTGGCCACGCGTATGCAAACACATACAGGTGCACACACAGAGACACATGCACAGACATACATGCACGAACATGGAGATACCCAGAGGCACATGGACGTGCACACGTGTGCATGTCGACATGCAAAGAGGAACACGCAGGCACGTGTGTGCTCGTATTACACATAAACACACATGTGTGCTTCGACACAGACACACGTGCACAGACGCTTGCACACATGCATGAGCACACGTGTGCACACAGGTTGCACACGCACACACACACACACAGATGCATGCACACATACACGAGCACACGCAGCTGTACTTGACTGTGTGCCCGTGCAGCATCCTGTCCACACGGCAGGCTGTCTGTGCAGCTCAGTTAACAGCGGGTGGTCTGGGAGGCCCCATCTTTTCCGTCAAAAGTAGGGAGGCCTCTGTGCTGCTCGGGGCACAGGATCTGGGGGACCGGCGTGTGCAGCAGGCTGGTGAGGGAAGCTCAGGACCCATCCTTCTCTAACAGGTGCCGTGCGCATCGGCCCCCAGGATCAGGGTCACCCCAGCCCTCGGTGCTGAGGGGCATGACTGGGCAGAATCCCAGGGACCCAAGCGAGCGCTCACGTGGTGCCCCGAGGCGGTCTTGCCCTGTCCCTGGCGAATGTCCTGGGGGCGGTAGGGCCTTGCCTCCGGGGAGACCTGGTTCTGCTGTTTTTTGGTAAATGTATGGTCTCTGTGATGCTCAAACCAGCGGCAAAGTGTGTCCGCCCTCGGAGAAATCTGCTCCGTGGGCAGGGCCGGAGGGAGCCCGGAAGCCTCCCGGGGCAGAGCGACCCCGCGCGCACCGCGGTGCCTGGGCGAGGGCAGGGGCGGGGGAGCTGAGTCGGGGACAGCCCCCCCCCCCTCCGAGCGCAGGGCAGGAGCCGGGGAGCCTGGTGGGCACCAGCGAGGGCTCTGGAGCTGTCACTTCATTGTTGCTGTTTCCAGCCCCCGCGGGCCTCGCAGCAGCTGCGTGGACGAAGGATCCTGCTCCTGGGGGCTCCCTGCTCCTTTGTTCACCTTCCTAGACAGGCGTGTCCCCGGCAGGGATACACCGTCTTTCCGGAGGAGCAGGGGCGTGGGGGAGGAGCTGGCGCCCCGCACCCCCCTGCCCAGAGCCGAGGCAGCTCCATCACGGGCCCTCAAGGGCTGACGTGGCTCCGCGGGGGCAGAGGCAGCCAGGACCTGCCTCCACAAAGTGGGAGAAAATTGGATCCAATAAAATTAGACCAGGAGGCATTTTCTCAGGGCCTCTGCCCTGTGGCACCTCGATTCTCCGTTCCTGCCCCTGCCTGTGAGCCACAGGCCCGGTGGTCGCGGCCGGCCGGCCTCAGTGATGCTGGCACTCTCGTGGGTAAAGGGTAGCGAGCCGCAGGGTCCCCACCAACGTGACAGGGCAGTGGGGGACGCGGCGGATGCCAGAGTGCCCAGCTCCCAGCTGGTACCATCACATCCCCCCATCCTGGGCACTGAGGGCGCAGCGGCCCCTCCAGAGCATGGGTCCCCCTCCGCCTCCTAAGTGAGGGACCTCCTGAAATCAGCGCCAGTGCCCTGGGATTAAAGAGACAGGGCCGGTAAGCCCAATGCGGGGTTTCCAGTTAGACGCTGGGCCGGAAAGGGCAATCGCCGTGAAGGCTGCGAGCCAGCTGTCAAAGCCGGGCACTGCCCAAGGGCAGAGTGTCCACCGAGGGAGGACAGGCTTGCAGGACGGGCGGTCCTGGGGGGGTGTGTGCCTGGCAGCGGGGGGAGGGTATCCCACCTGCTCATGACGTCGGGGCTTGGGGGTGGGGGTGGGGCTTTGTTTCCCTC